ACATTCGGCTTTCAACTTTTGGAAATTGCTTCATTTTCATGTTATTATGTGTTTTTATAATTTGTTTCTGTTACTTGTATAAATGATGTTTAAATGTATTATATATCTCATCTTCTTGTGAGATTTAAAAGTAATCAAATACATCATTCACGACATTTTGGCATTATGTAATGTAACATGACTTTAATCTTGACACTTGCATTTAGTACCGATGAGACTAAAAACCTAATTAGTACTTTAATTCATATTTGTTGCTGTCCATATTCATATAAGAGAACAGTTTCAGTGCAAAGCATATGCATATGTGTATAACATTCTCTTAAATTCTATCCATATTCATTCAGATGATGTTATTGTTTCAAAATATTAAACACTACTTTAATTTGCTTTTTGAGTAGTCTTATCGTCTAGCAAGAATCAGAAATAAGTTTCTTACGTTTTTACTTTTTTGTTACACTTAAGCTTGTCTTTTGGAAGTGTAGCTGTATTGCAAATATATAGATTCATTATTCCATGTAAAGAAAATGGAAGATGTAAAATTTATATGCCAACGTAATATTAAATCAATTTTCTATTTTATTTAAAAAATAGTTCATCTTTAAATAGCATATAAATTACGTAGTACCTTTGATAATGTTCTAGGTATGAGACAAATAGGCAACGATCTCCAGGCGGAAGTGGCCTGTCAAGTTTGTGTCCAAAGCTGGTGGCCAGTGGAGGTGGAAATAACCAAGGTGGCATTAGTTTGGCAGTGGGCCACTTAGCCTCCCAGGAAGGTGGAGGCCCATGTTCAGTTGTTACCACTCAAAGAATCCATAATCATACACATAATCATAAACGCCAAAGAAAATTGTCTATTGTTCCACAAGCTGGTACTAGTGCTCATAATTCTGGTGATCGGAAGGTTTGTCATTCCTTCTTTAAACTCTTAAACATATATTTCTTTCATCTTGTGTAACTATCAAGTTTTTCATAAATACAAAAAGTATCCTAGGAAACATTGTCAATTATCTGTAATCTATTTAGGCATCAAGTATAAGTCGTTCCTCTACAACAATTTGCAAGAAACAAATACGAACACAGAGGAGTGACCATAATACGGATTCATTGTCTATAACAACTAACGGAGTTGCGAGTAATTCACCTTCTTCTAAAAAGAGAGTTTTATCTACTCTACGCATCTCGGAAAAATCATCCCCTCGGAATCTCAATTCACCATCTTTAGACAATGAAAATGAGCGCAGTTTCAGCGACGCAGAGGAAGCTATCACTGCGACAGAAAATGTGTTCAATGTTCCAGGTTCTGTAACCTCCTGAGTATTTTATGATTTACGTACGTTCGATGATCTTATGTTAACAATTCGGCTTTTAAATGCACAGGATCTAGTTCCACGCCTTCAACACCAATTAGTCGAGTGAAATCGAAAAAATCGGACGAAGATGAGACGAGTATGGAATGTAGCATCAGTGAAGAAGGTGTTGAATCGTCGCGGAACACAGCAGACAAGAAACTATCATTAGATACTAGCGAGTCAAAAGTAACAACCCCAGAATGTTCTGAATCTTCTAAAATTCCAAACGTTGTGAGAAAAATATCGGCAAATAGCATTGATGAGGAAACAATTATACAAAATAAACAAAAAGTATTCTCTACATCTTCCATGAGCACACGATGCAATAATAATGAGGGCAGAACCGCCAAATCTAAAAGTAAGTATTTCACAGAAATTCAGAAAAGTAGTAAGAATTCGACTAAGATAAACATAGGGAAAAGTATAGATTCGTTCATGAAAATCTCCATAAATTCAACAGGTAATAGTAAAAGTAATGAAGAGGTGAAACGGAAAACGTCCACCGACTCGTCCAAGTCTACCAATATGGCAGAAAAAGAAGGTTTGACTAAAGATTCAGAAGAGGATGTTGTCGAGGATAAGGAGAAGGTGGTGAAAAGTTCAAGATTTGTGACGTCGAAGGTGTCTGAAGAGATAATAGACACCGAGGGAAAGGATATGGAAACGCAACGGGAAGAAGAAGAGGGAGAAGTGACAATATATGACGAAGATGACAATGGCACCAGTATCAGTGATATTGTTGCTGCACAAGCGCTTCATGAATCTCTGAGTAAATTAGGGAAAGTTCCACCTTTGGATACTGACATGGAGGATGTTAAGGACATGAATATCGAGGATGAGATCAAGACGGAGAAAGATTCCCAGAAAGACGTCGTGCAGGAAGAAGCGGTGGAAGGTTTTATCGGTCCTTTGCTGGACGAAAATTTTAAAGCGGACGAGAAATTATCACAGAAAACTATGGCCATGGAGGAAGTTCGAAATTTATTGATGAAAGTGAAAGTTCAAAATGTAGAAGACGATGACGATGAAGAGAAAGCTATAGGTATATCACCGGATGGTAGATTCTTGAAATTCGAAGAGGAAATCGGTAGGGGCAGCTTTAAGACTGTATATAGAGGTTTGGATACTCAAACTGGTGTGGCTGTTGCCTGGTGCGAATTACAGGTAAGCCAAATTTAATAAAATAATTGTTTTATAAAGCTTTTAAAATCTACATTCGTCCACTTCTTGTTTAGGAAAAAAAGTTAAACAAGACAGAAAGACTGAGGTTTAGGGAGGAAGCAGAAATGTTGAAAGGATTGCAACATCCAAATATTGTTAGATTTTATGATTATTGGGAAGTTACACTTACGCGTAGGAAATACATTGTACTAGTCACTGAACTTATGACTTCAGGAACATTGAAGACGTAAGCCTTTGATTGCATTATAATATTTAACAATTTTATAAATATGCTATTCTAATTTACTGAATAAATTTTCTTGCAGATACCTAAGACGTTTTAAAAAAATTAATCCGAAGGTAGTGAAGTCTTGGTGTCGGCAAATTTTAAAAGGCCTTAGCTTTTTACATTCGAGATCACCGCCAATTATTCATCGCGATCTGAAGTGCGACAATATTTTTATTACTGGTACAACGGGGAGTGTAAAAATTGGCGACTTGGGTCTTGCGACTCTGAAAAATCGAAGTTTCGCAAAGAGCGTGATTGGTACACCCGAATTTATGGCACCGGAAATGTATGAGGAGCATTATGACGAGTCTGTCGACGTTTATGCATTTGGCATGTGTATGCTTGAAATGGCTACTAGTGAATATCCGTACTCTGAGTGTACTGGACCAGCGCAAATATATAAACGCGTAGTATCGGTAATATAATTCGACAAAAATATTTTTATTTTTTATTTTTTGTTCAGTCAACATTAATTAAGACTTTTTATTTTACAGGGAGTAAAGCCTCAGAGCTATGACAAAGTGGAAAATCCAGAGGTTCGAGAAATCATTGAAATGTGTATTCGGCTAAAGAAAGAAGAACGGCCATTAGTTAAGGATCTCTTAAATCATGAATTTTTTGCTGACGATGTTGGGTTAAAATTGGAAATGGTTTCGCGAGATTCAGCAGTAGCAGACGCAGAACTATCTCGCGTCGAATTTCGACTCAGAGTACTGGATCCCAAAAAACGAACCAACAAACATAAAGAGAATGAGGCGATACAATTCGATTTCGACATCCAAGGAGACAACGCAGAGGAAGTAGCCTCTGAGATGGCTAAATCCAGTCTGATACTCGAGGAAGATGTAAAAGCTGTAACGAAGATGTTAAAGTCTCAAATCACTACTTTGTTACGAGAAAGGGAAGAACGTAAAGCCAAAGAAGAGAAAGAGCGATTAGATAGAGAAGCTGATACCACTACTACAGCTAATGAAAATTTATTGCAACAACAGCTGCTACTCCAACAAATGCAATTGCAACAACAACAGCAGCAGATACAATCTAACATGGGCATTCAGATGCAAGGTCAAGTACAAATGCAATTACAACAAAACCAAATACCTCTTCAACCACAACAGCAAATGCAACCTACTGCGCAACCATCCCAACAACACAGTTTACAACCACAACCTGTTCAGTTAGTCCAACAACAACCGCTAATGCAGCAACAAACTTCAGTTGTTCAACCCCAGCAAGCACAACAGTTGCAACAAGTGCCCCAAGTATCTCAGCAACAAGTTCAGTATCAACAACAACAGTATCAGCAACAATTGCAACAGCAGTATCAACAGCAACAACAGCCATATCCCTCACATGTTTCACAAAATATTAACCCTTCTTCATCGCAATGTTCTACACCGCAAACTGTACAAACACAACCACAATTTCCTCAAGTGACTCAACAGATACAACAGCAACAACAAATTCAACAACAGCAACAGATTCAACAACAACAAATTCAACAGCAGCAACAGATACAGCAGCAACAACAGATACAGCAACAACAACAGATACAGCAGCAACAACAGATACAACAGCAGCAGCAACAGATCCATCAACAGCAACAACAGATACAGCAGCAGCAACAGCAACAACAGATCCATCAACAGCAACAACAGTACATACAATTAAATCAGATGAACGTACCGCAACAGATAAGTCATCAAATGCAATCGCAAATACAGCCGCAGCTACAATCACAAATCCAAATTTTATCCCAGCAACAGCATGTGCAAATGCAACAAACCCAGCAAGTGCAGTATTCTCAACCACAGGTGCAGCATGTGCAACAAGTGCCTGTGCAAAATCAACAATTTTATCAGCAAAGTGCTACAGGAACTTCGGGGTATACTACACAACCTATATACCAACAAAATATTTCTCAATCAATGTATCATCCATACACCACTCCTAATCCAGCTGGTCATGTGGAAATATTATCAACAAGTCAGCCTACCACTCAAATTTATTCCCATACAAGCATACCTGGAAGTGCAGCGCCACCAACTTCGCAGCCTTACATTCAACAATCAACAGGACAGGTCTCAGCTTCCGTACCATCAAGTATTAACATTCAAAATTCATCGGCAGCAACAATCATACAGAGTGCAGCGACTGCTACGATTCCAAATATTCAACCCACACCCACTATTCTACCCAATGGCGGGCATCAATCACAGCCTCAGCAAAATGTCTTGGTCCAGATGCAATATTCGCAACCTTCTAGTGTGCCCACATCCGTATCTATGTCATCTGGAATGAGTGTCCCTGCACAGTCCACAACAACCACACAGCACCAGCAACATTTTGTTCCGAGTACGGATCAAATCACTGCGGATAGATCTTCTTTACCCAAGCAGGATACAATGGACTCTGTACAATCTTTACCAGTTGATTTACCATCTAATGTTCAAGATCAAGTGAATTTAACTACTGCTATAGGCCAAACAGCAGTAGCGAGCGAAGGGTAAATTAAGGAATTAATTAAATTAATTTAATCAATTTAAAATTAAATGGTTTTTCCCTTTAAATATAATTTAAACATGGTTAAAGTGTTTTGGATTAAAATCTTATAGAAGTTTGTTCTTGTAGAGTAACTCAAGAAAATTCTGAAAACGTTTCTTCTGAAAGGAGCAGAGTGAAAAGGTCTGGTACAAAACGGAAGAAACCTGGTATTAAGTTGACTGTTTTATCAGTAAGCAGTAGCGAAGGTCAGTCAGTGACTGTTGAATGTCAACTGGACACAAGCAAGCAGAAAACAGTGACATTTAAATTTGATAGGGATGATATGGTACCCACTGATATTGCTAACAATTTGGTAAGCAAACGGTATAATAATATGAAGTAAATATTGAAGGGCTAATATCAAAGGAATTGTTTTATTTAATTACACAGGTAGCTGAAAATCTGTTACCCCAATCTCAATGTGAAACGTTCGTCGAATTAATAGAAGACATCGTGAAACAGTTACGTCTGGATCCCACAAGAGCTTTACCTTTGGTGGCACATGGTCCTCCAGATCAATCAGCTGGTGGTAGCCCAGTTACTAGTCGGCGACCTAGAGATCGTGACCACAGTCTTGATACAGCTAAGGTAACAGTTTTTTTCCATTTTATTCATATTCTATGAATATGTTGAAACTTATAGTATGAACTGATTAATTTCTGTAACTAAACTTCGAGGGAAATAATATTAATTAGTAGTTAAGGACCTGATACACAAAAGTCCATACTACATATTAAAGAATTTACATACAGATCTAGCATTGACATGATAATCTTTATCCAAAGTTTATTTTCTGAAAGCAATGAATCTGCACAAGATAAATTATGAGAAATAGGAATTCTGAATATTCCTTGTAAACTTAAAAATATAAAAAATGCTTCATTAAGTTGATAATTACATAATCTGTTACATAATTTTTGTATTCTCAAATATGACAAGAATGTTCTGTCACACTATTTTTGTACAATTTATTAAACTTTTTATATTTTACAAGCTTTGTACTAAAATTGCTAAGTATGTATGAACACCAAATATATACCACATAGTCCCATTAAAAAAGAAAGAAATAAGGGTGTGCATATAATTGGTATGTATCGTTTTGGACGCAGCAGGTGAGACATGGCTCGCTAACTCGTCAAAGCAGCCACCGATCATCGTACAAAGTCCATCGTAGACACCGTTCGGTGAGTTCATCGACCCCGGCGAAACCTCTTCCTGTTTTCTCTATATTTCGTCGTTATAGTCGTGGACATTTGTGCATCCTTCTCTGATTCACAATATACATATATCTACATATATTGTGTTCGGACGTTTGTGTATCCTTTTAAGGTATATCGGTATCATATGACGACATTTCTTTCATGTTTAATAAGTTCATCACGTAGGCAGTTCATAATACAATGTTTTGAATATTTAAGCGAGGCGTTTCATGCTTTTAATTTTATTTAATTTTTATGTTTAATTTGTATTTGAAAAGCATTTCAGGAAAATGATTTAATCTCCTTACTAAGGATATTAATTCAAATTACATGTATTTCACAGAATTCCATGCGAACATCCATTAATACAATGTCACTTGCTATTTTTAGAATGTAAAGAGCAAAGTAGCAAATTGTTTCAAGTAATTTTGTTATATATAGCATCGTATCGAGGTAGGCCTCGGTTGCTCAGGATACAGAACATGTGTCCTCCTTTGAACATTTTTTATTTATTTATATATTGAAGTATACTTTGTTATAGATTATAACACATATTATATTATATCATAACACAACCTTGTCTTGTTCTCGTGCGTTGCAATTATTTCGTGAAACCAACATCGCATGTTCACTTAGACAGTTATATATTATATGCTTCCAGAGAGACGAAACATCCAACACTTCTACACCAACGAAATTGTTGCCGATTGATCAGATTATTTCTCACATCACTGGTGGCACCACAGAGAAGCAGCAAAGTGTTCAAACACCTGACAGCCAAGTGGGACTTGAAAACACATCGGCTGAAGCATCCAGACGATCATCTACCTCCACGCAGAACACAGATACATTGACGCCAACTAATTTACCAAGTGACCCAACTGATACTCAAGAAACATTGGTTAATGTAACCAACTTAGAAGCAGGATTAGAGCTGCATAATGTATCCAATGAGGATAAATTTTATCATTGCACCACAACATATACTCAAAGTTCAGTACACGATACAGCAATTGGAAACCAAGGAAGCGAGATGGCAAAAGAATCTGGGGCTCAAGACGTAACTGATCTTCAAGAAAGAGAAGCGAACAAAGAAATACAAGTTGATACAGTTACAGAGGTAGCTACGCTAACTGCGCCACCTCCAATTAGAAAAATCTCTCGGTTTTTAGTTAGTCCTGTAGTCGAACAAAAAATTCTCACTATCGAAGACGAAGAATCCAGCGTAGAAAGTACTGAGAAAGCTAATATTTTGGCAACACAATCAAATTTAGTATCTCAAATTAGTGTAACCGATGAAGGACAGGCAAAGCATGACGAATTAGAGGTAAATGTATTAGAAACGCAAGCTGCTGTTCTTGAAAAACCCAGCGTTGAAACTCTTATACAGAATACTCAGTATGTCCCAGAGCAAGTAGATGCAGTTCAAACGTTACAATTGGGGCAACAAACAATCGGTCTGCAGAACACTATGCAAGGACAAGCAATGTCAGCTATGCTACAGATACAGCCAAACATTAATACTATACAATCTAGTCCACATAATGTGATCTTACCAGGATCAACGATAACACATCAATTGCCGCAACAGATGCAATCTGTACCTCAGAACATTATGGTTACAGTCCAAAAAGATTTGCAAACACAAACACAAATTCCTCCCAACAATGTTAACATGCAAGGACAATACCAAAATCAACCTTTGCAATGCAATGTCTTATTGCAACAGCAACAAATTCCTATGCAACACAATTTAACGCAGATGCATGTACAACCTGAACTTCAGCATCAAGGACAAATTCAAACTCAACGACCAATGCAACAATTCCATTCTCAACAAATACCGCAACAGTATGTGATACTTTCTGGGCCAATACAACAGTTGCAACCAGCAGCGATCGTGGACGAAAGGAATCGTAGAATATCAAATATTTCTACTGCTTCAAATATGTCCACCGATTCGCAAATGTCTGAAATAGTCAATCTCACAGACGATAAAAAGCAACCTATGGTTGTACCTAGTTCATCTGTGCACCATATGCAGCATGCTCAACTTATAGCTCAACCAGAAGGACAGAACGTTGCAACTTTATCGCAAACTGTACTGGAACCAACGCAACAATTACAAGGAACTCCTCAAAATATAATGAACGTTCCAACAAATGCATCCGTACCCGTTTCAGTTCCTGTTCAACAAGTGATTGCTACAGAAGTTGCTCCTAAAGTGATAGTTAAGACAAAAGAAGTGTCCTCAACTCTCCCAGACTTGGCACAAAATTTAGCGAATATACTTTCAAATCCAAAATCGAAATCTGCAACTCCTCACGGTGTAACCAGCCATGAGCAAAATCCAATTACAAACATCCCAGCAGCTACGGTATTCGATAATAAATCCACTCTCCAATCAGAACAGTATTTCCAGCCTATTCAACCGGAGGCGAGTCAGATTCAAATACCGTCACAGGTACAACACAATTATCAACCGAATATAGTGCAACCAGGAATTTCACAAACGTTCCAACAAGTCACACAGCAATCTCAGCAAACGCAGATAACTTTGCAACAGACGATGCAATTGAATCCAACGCAACAAATGGATCCTCAGCTTCAAATTATGCCACAAAATTTTCAGGGGGTTCAAACTATGCTGCAAGGCAAATGGATCGCTACCCCGAATCAGAATATTATGCAACAGACTGGGCTAATAAGACATCCTCAGCAGACTCAGCAACAGTTGCAACAGACTATACCTGTGCAACAACCAATTTTGCAAGATACTCAAAATGTGGAAAATTTTGTTCAAACTGATCAGTCTCAGCTCCACTTGAAGCTTCAGGAGCAACAAATTCTAGGCAAAACGTCAGAAATGGAGACACAGGAATCGATCACATCAACTGGGTACGTACATTCTGATTAAAGATATCAATTTTTACTAAAGTCCTTCTTTTGTTTAAACATTAGGCGCATCAGTACTGAATGTCATCTGTTATCGGAAGCTGAGAATTCTAGCCACGATGTAACTCCTGAACACACAATCGTTGAATCTGTAGATTCAACATTGTTTGCACAAAACCAGGCATTGCAACAACAGCAGCAACAGCACAGGAAACTGAGTCAACAAAATTCTTTGGATAAAGTCCCAGATGCAGTGGTTGGAACAGCTGGTCTGGGTGGACCAGGTCCACAAACGATAGCAGATCTTCATCAGAAACTTGTGCAGCTAACAAGTCAGCCATCCGAAGCACTCAACGTAGGAACTCCACCTATTAGTTATCCAGCTACACCTCATAACCATCAAATAGTAGGTGGATATGACGCATATATAAACTCCTTGCAACAAAAGTTGGTTAACATTGGTATGCCAATTTCAACGACACATGGCGTGGTAAGTATAAATTGCAATAGAGAATAGTGAAAAAGTATATATATGTATAAGTAGCATAAATAATTCTTTATAGGGTCCTCCATCACCTCAGACAGCAATACAATCTTCCACTTCCTTGACCGACCCAAATGTTCCCACAAACGTCGAAGCTTTAGCTCTAATTCAAGATAGTTCCATCCACCCACTTGCTTTGTCACAAACTGTAAGTTGTATCAGAAGGACCAGAAGATTGAAATTAACTAATTATGTGTATAGTTTAGTGTTATATAGTACAGAAAATTTTATTTATTTAGCATGTAGATTGCTCTTTGGATAGTCCAACACCAGGAGCAGGTGCTACAGGATCAGAAACCATGAGTCCTAGCAAAGAAAGCATAAAAGTTCGAGCCCAAAGACCCGGATCTCGTCTCCAAGAATTGGAACAGGAGTTGGCAAAGATTCATCACAGAGGCTCGGTACTTTCGACAGCTTCTCCACAACCGTTGTTACAGTCTACTCAAAGTTTATTGACCACCGTCCCATCCACATCAACTGTGCCAGTTGCTAATATTACTCCTAGTGTCAATACATCACGCTCTGACACAAACACCCCAGTGCAAATAGAACCACAGGAATCTGTAACGGAGGTATGTAATAAATTTATGTAATTGGACCGCGAAATGGTTGATAAATTTTCTTAAGAAACAATACAAAAAATTAGAACGATCCAAAAGTAATTGTAAAATAATTATACAATTTTGATAGAAGGTTAGTACAACGCAACCTGTTAGAAAAATATCAAGGTTCGTCGTTTCCAAGGTCGCAGGTCCTCCTAACAATGCTACTGGACCAAACCAGCAATCATATGCAGAGGATCCAAAGGTTTACCATGTGGAGGAAAACCAAGGTAAGAATTTGAAAATTAACTCGGGTAAAAATTAAACCTAGATATATGAACCTAGTTAATATTGTCTTGAATCATAGGTACACCAGTTCAAGTGATTCATAGTCGTGAAGGTTCTATTCCACCTACGCAATCTATCCAGCCTACTGTTAGTGGTCCTACAATGGAAGCAAGTATCTTAGTCGTACTCCAAGTATATTTTATCGGCCATTGCCTTAACAAGTTTCTGACCATTGATTTGTCATTTGTAGCAAACGGAGAAAGATGAAAGATTTTGGACGTTAACGCCAAGCGAGGAATATCAATTACTCATAAAAAAGTAAATAGACTTCTTAACAATTAAATATTAACACTCTTCAATTTGTTTAAACTACTTCTTTTCCTTCTAAAGACAAACTATGGAGCTAGAGACGCTGCAAAGAAGACACAGGGAAGAATTAGAACGTTTCCAGCAACACCAGCTGCAGCTGTTGATCCAGCAACAACAACAAGCGAGTGCGTTGCATCAGCATCACCATCAGCATCACCCTATGCTTTATCACACTGTCGCGACTAGCTTGGCTGGTAAATAATCAATTTTTTTTATTACAATCTCATACTGATCGTATGGCTACATTTCCATTGTTTCTTCTAATGATATCGATTTTTTATTTAATACAGGACAAACTAGACTTCCAAGTACAGAAGACTACTTAATGTTTAATACAACGCCCCAAACTCCATTACAAAAAGCTCCAAGTAATTATCCAGACACGGACGAAACGTTACGGTTAGCTATGCAAAAATTGAAACAAACTCCTTTGCAACTACAACCACAGCAGGCAACGGCTGGAATACCGCACGCTTACGTTATTCCGATTCCAGTAGTGCCTTCTGAAACTATGCAGAACATACCCTCTCAGCAATCTAGTAGTTACACAAGTGATATCGCTGAATCGTACGACTCTGCGCATAGTTCCCTTATAAATTCGGCCCAATATCAGTTCGCGCCTATATTACCGGACGGGACGAATATCGCTGTGTCCTCCACTGGATCGTTAGTCACGCCTATTCCAATATCGAGTTCAACAGGTAGCGGTGGTTACATTCAATATCACGAAAACCAAACGTTACCAAATTTCCAAACATTCAGCTGTACACCACACGGCGGTTTCTTTTTGCCAGCTGGTTACAGACTGATATACGCTCCTCAGCCAGCGTCTCAGTCCCAGCCAGCTACACCGGCAACTCCGCATATAGGGAATTCTCATGACGGTACGCCGCCGGCGGAACCGTTACACACAAATACTGATAATTCAGCTGCCCCTCCTTCTCACACCGATCAATAACGTAATTTCAAGCAAGCTATATTATTCTCTATTTTTTCAATTTATTCGTTCTTGTAATGCAGTAACACCCCCAAACTTCTAGCCTAAGCTAATCAAACGTATTTCATTTAGAAAACACGTCCGATCTAAAATACTTGCTAAAGAAAGGAAGCATGTATACTGTAGATGTTCTGCATTTATAGTACTATTGTTCGTCCAAAACTCTGAACAGAGAAGCGTTTAATGAAATTTAATGAGATTTTTGTTTTCTGTAGATTACAATGAAGCCTTTAAAAACATAAAGAATTAGTACATAAGTATTTATATTTGCATAAATTTCTGCAGTGTACTTATTGTTATAATTAAAAATTTAAAAATTACGTCTCCGCATTCAAAATATTTCTTATTTTTTGGAGTGCGTGTTACTTTATACTGAACATTAAAAGAAACGTCAATGTATGAGTTTGAGCGTTTAAAAAGTTTATAAGTTTGGGGATGTTCCTATAGATTCTTAATTTAAACTTGTTGCCCCTTGTCCACTAGTATGAGAAATCATGCATTACTATTACAATTGTTATATTATAATATAGTTTTGCTAAATACGTATATTGCTACCCTCGTCCTTGTTGGATGTTGTGTATGCAGAGGGAGGCTCGAATGAAAGTATTTAGGATGTTCTCCGATGGTAATGTAACATCCGTGCGTTAATCGTTAAAATATTCTCATTGTGTACACGCGAGCACGATATTGATATTCGATGAGTGCCTCGCAGCAGATGTGAGATATAGGCTCGTACACAGAGAATATTTTAAATGGATCCAATTATCTGGACGGACGTGAGCAAAAAAGACGAAAGAGAAAAATAAAAGAAAAGAATCACAGATTGGAAGCTGAGGATAGAGGCCTTTACCTGTACTGTGCTTACATAGCGAATATCCTTGTTTAGTGAGAAATGCTTATATTAAAAGAAGACCCTTTCTGCTCCGAATTCTTTATTAGGCACAGTCCACATTAGTACAGGCCTCAGCTAGTCTTAACGATCGAAATGGCGTATCTTCGCCATTCTGCTCGATGTATATGTATAACTGTTAATGTATACTGGATGCTTTGGAGAAAGAGTGTATGTTCATGTGTGCATGTATGTGACTGTGCAGGAGTCAGACAGAGAAGAAATATGATTAATATAGTCACTGTTATGCTTTAATGTATTTCTAGCGATTTTACCTACTTCTATTAAAACGAAAAAGTCATGTGTTACTAGTTAGCAGTCCCATGTATCTTGTCTAATATTACATCGATTTCTATCTTTTTTTTTTTAGACTCTATTATCAATATTTTTTTATTGTCACATATTTAATTTTACGGAAGTTCCGTGTTATTTTCGCTTCAAATTGGCGCATTTCGTTTGGAAAATCGATTCCAGAGATACGTGGCACAATCCATTCCTTTCGAATTTTAATTTTTAGAAAATTTATTGTTCAATGGTTTCATTTTGAATTATTAAAATCATATCTAAAAAAGAATTTAATGGTAATCGATCCTAGATATTGAGAATCCAATTAGAGAAAAAAGGAAATGAAAATGCTGAATAGGAATAATGATGTAGGTATCAAATTCGTAACACGTTTTCAAAAACAAAATATCAAAAGGGAAGATGATATAACACTTGGATCACCAGCCAGGAAACATTTTGACTTTTCATCTGTGCTATCACATATTGCATTTTGCAATATAGTTAAGAATAGCTTGTTTGTATAACTACAAATATTACCACTGTTTATCGATGATTATGATGTTATCTTTATTTCGTTCAAAATATGTGCAGTTCGCGCCGCTTTTAATGTTGCGAGTTACTACTGCTTCTTGCATGAATTTATTATTGTCAGTATTATACTATTGTACTATTTTTTCGAACTAAACATGAATCTGTTCCGACGATCTCCTACAATTACTACATACAGGTCATACTGAATTTCATAAATTTCAATCAGTTCTTTTCATACATGCCTTACTTTCACACGTTCAGCATACTATTAATTTTACTATTGCGTTTCGAATCGTTCTTGCTTTTTTATCTTAAAAGACAAAATATATATATAACATGATCCACCTGGTAATAAATTCATGTGGCTGTTGAACGAAACATTGTAATAGATAATTGTATGTATTTCTTTCAGAAATACATTGCAATTAATCTTATACGGTTACTTTTAAATAAATTTATTAGATAATACTCAAAGAGAATGCGTAACTTGTAATACTTAATGTACATATGTTCATTTACTGTTAGGTGGATTGGCTTTTGAACAAAGAATGCAGTTTCTATGTTCGATCGTAAATAAAACCTGACTATCT